AGGAATATAACCTATGGCAGACTCCGTCTATTCTTAGAGGATAGGAACATGTATTGTTCATATCAATGAGTTCTTGAAGAATTTCAAGTACACTACAGTTGATCTAGTTCAGTTTTTTTAAAGACATCACTGAATACAAATGTTCAGATCACTGACTTTACAAATTACTTTCTAAACTGATGAAGAGTTGGTTATCTACCTTAGTTATGGATTTTTATTTTTTTTAACCAGTATAAGAAGCCAGCATAGCAGATGTGTGGGCTGTACTGCATAGCTAGTTGTAACCAGCGGTGTTAGTCTTCTATTTTGCCGTATTCAGTGCCCAAATATATGCAAAGGAAAATACAGTCCACAAACTGTCCTGAGGTTCTATCACGTCTACAAAACTAAATACACTTTATGAGAACAGAATGTCTCCCTCAGATTTTCAGCTCTAATCTCCCTCTAGAGACAAACTCTAGCAACTGATCTGTGGTTCTCATTCAGGCCAGACTGTACTTTTTTAGATGCCTGGGCAAAGATCTCTCCAGTGAAGGGCTTCAGTTCTGCAAGGAGAGAAAGTGAGGACATCTGAAACTTAACGTGTTCATCCTCAGTCCCCAGAGAACCAGAAAAACGCAGCTTCTCTTCAAGGAAGGTGAAGTCACCTGCATGTTCATCGAAAGGATATATTCTTCCTTCTCCTAGTGACTGTCCTGGTAGTAACTGTGTCCCATTAGCTCTGATAAACCTCTCAGTGTGTTGATGTGGGGTTTTTTAAGAAATATCCTCCTGTCAGATTTGCCAGCAGACTCTACCTGACACTTACTGACTGCCCTAGAGACACTCCTTATGTTCCCTCCTACCTGCTTCGGCAGCTAACTCAAAGGTTCTTATCACAGTTCAGAGCTAAATCCAGCCCCATCCCACCCCCAGCAAAAATGAAGTTATCAGTCCAGGCAAAAACTACCTTATTTTGTTAATGCTAATTAAACTAAAAATTATATGTAATCTAGGTAGTTTAGGCCATGCCATTAAGTGAGGATAAACATACTGAGGCATTAAAATAACTCGGTAATGTGGTAACAGATAGTCAGAAGTCATAAAATAATGACACATGTTTCAAGGAGCACTGTGATATGCTTGAAAGTCAATGAAATATGGCAGCTGTGGCCCTCATACTGCATTTACTGAGAAAAGCTTCCATTTATTTCCAAGTTACTATTACTTTTGAAGAGGTTTTAATCATGAAAGCTGATTTGATTGGCAATGTCCACATACAGTTTTGTTGAATAAACAGTATGGCACATTTCGCTAATTAGTTGGAGAAAGCTAAAGAAAAGATTAAGCAAAAGCAATCAGACTTTTTGAAAAGTCTTGGTATAATCTTCAAAGCACCATTTAACATAAACTGTATTTCTTTTACCAACTTGCTCGTTTACTTGTAGCAAATACAATAGTAATGACTGTCAGTTAAATTTTTGTACTAATCTGGAATACAAAGTCATTGAGTGAAGTCATGTATGCTCTGCTTGGCTTGTGGAGGCAGTGAAGAGAATTCTTAAAGCAGAAAAGTAATTTGGCAGAGTGGCTGCTATAAACTCTTTAGTGCATGCTTATTATTGTTGAAACAGTTTTTTGGACCCACAAATTATAAAGCTATGGAATACATGTTTGCATCATTTTATATAAACTGCTGTAATTCTAGCCCCCAAACTGCAGATCTGCATAAAGCGTTAAAGAGGACATAAGAGAAGAAAGCTGAATGACAACTAATTTATATGCTGTTTTATTCCTGGACACCATTTTGCCCACACAACATATGTTTTGTGCTGAATTTAGAGGCACACTCATGTCCATTGTGTTGCATTAGTCTAACACAACAAAATAAAGGATCCAGATATCAAATCCATATAGTTTGAGAGAAACAAAAGAGAATGGAAAGAAAAGGCAGGCAAAGCTTTATTGCTTGAAAGCAAAACAACAGTAACATATAGGTACTTTGAATGGCACAATTACTGATATGATTCATTGGGTGTGCATAAAGACAGTAAATGCTACAGATACTGTAGCAGTGTTCTGCAGTGTAAGAACACCTGATGCACACCTGAACAAATAGTTGGGGAGGAAAAATGAAATTCTGTATGTCTGCAACAGAAGATACCCCCGTGTTATTCTGAGGTCTCATGTTGCAACAGAAAATAGTTGCTTTTGTTCATCTAGAAAGAGCTATCCCCCCAAAAGTAACTGAGTTAACAATGGGAAGACAGTGAGACAGAGCTCTGCTGGGGCTCAAAAAGTTACCTGATGTGAGGCCCTTGGTACCTCACCTGTAATATCCTACAAGTTTGATTTCAAAGAGCAATGCCAGCCAAAGCAAGAGTAGAGCTACAGTTAAGAGACACCTTGCTGTGTCTTTTATTTCCCCCAAACATTCCCATGTTACACTCAGCCACCCGAAGGCTTGAATAAAAAAAGCTGGCAACTAAGTAGTATGCAAACTATGAATTAAAAATGAACAGTCCCAACGAATTGGTATATATAGTTCATTCAAAAAAAAAGAATCCCAGCAGTGTGTCATCGCTAATATCTGAGACCAGCAGCTAAAAGTTAATCTTTACAGAGACAGACATCCTATCACAGAACTTGGCTATTAGCATAGCAGATTTCAATCTGACTACTAAGAAATAAGAGTTCCTACTATTAGGCTTTAACTTAACTCCTTTCAATAACAGTTCAACCTGTTCTTCACTGGAATCCTATTATGCTTTTCCAGTAAGGTGTTAAGACAACAACTCAGGCTTACTATTTATGGAGCTAGTGACTCTTAAAATATACTCTGAAGTAAGTGGCTATTCCTTTAATCTGTGACCTTAAGATTCGGCAAGAGTTGATGTTTTCTTGCTCTTATGTACTGAGCTGCCTATCAGTCACTGATCCAATCCAGCCACTGCTGTACCATTTGCCCACATTGCTGCTGAATATAGTGGCAGCATAGCTCAATGGGGACATCCACCATGAATTTACCTATAACTAACTGTCTGTCACCTAGTGTCCCCCCACCAACATCCTCAGTGTGAGGCTAATAATTATGATTATTTCTTGTTAAAAATGAAGTAGATTAACCTGAGAAAGATTAACAGGAATGGTGAAGACAGGGAAGAGAGAGCAGATGATTAATGACGACAGCCAAAATGGAGCTCTTTCAGCCAGATGAAACTTAACAGGGACCAAAAATGGAAGAACAACAAATTCCTCTGCAAAGTTGTCTCATATCAGACATCACAGAACAGCCCAGGGCATGACCTTCTGCCCAAGACAGAGCATGCTCACAAGCTCAAAGCCTACAGGGAAGCACACACTCTTTTGACTTCACATCTATCATGACACTTTGCTTCCCTCTCCTCCCGTCCTTGATTTCTGCTTCCTAACAATATTGCTGCCTTGTAGCCTTTTAAAAGTGATTAGAAAAAGGGAAAGCATAGAACTAATAATCAGTAGCAAACATCAGGAAGCAGACCTGCTCCATTCAGGATGGAGTCATGACCTCTGTAAATGCAAAGCTATCACACAGAACTTTCTAGATCACTTAGAAACACATCATTAGTCCTTGTCACACTGGGACATAGCTTATTGCGGAAATGTCATTAGTTTCTTTTCAGATTCTCTGGAGAATTTCCAAAACCTAGCCCTTGAATTTCCTCAGGTTGTTCATACGTAATTTCATATTTCAGCTGTTGTTAGCCAATACAGTACATGCCGTTCCAAGCTTAAATTCATAATTACAGTTGCCTGCTAAAGCCAAGCAGCCAGGTGCTCGGCCATCATGGCTTCCGCTTCTAAATGGAGTTAGGCAATACCAAAATCATACTTACACCAACCCTCCACTGAGGTTATAAAGTCTTTGGAAGCCATCTTAATTTAGGGAGCTCATAACACAGCAATCTAACAGCTATGCTATGTGTGAGGCCATTAAGATTTCACTTCAAACATTGCATTAAAAACACCCTGACCTTTAAATGGAGTTCAGTGGTGGTACTGAGTAGTCTTTTGATAAAGTGTAAAGTTAATGGTTTACATCACAGCAGCTTGCTGACTGACTCTTGAAATGACCTTCAGAAGTATCCATTGTGTATTTTCTTTCCTGAGTACCACTATTAGAATCACTGGTCTCTTAGCATTTTGTTGATGCAGTTATACTATGGTCTGTGGTTTCGTTATCTTACCTTTTTGCAGGGCCAGAGTGCATACCACCTGACTCTATCGTTAGAAACCCTAAGCACAAAGCAAATGTTAACACTTTAAAATGGCACAAAATTCCAACTTTTCCTTGGTATACTACACACCCAGAGCTCTTCCTAACTTCTTCCTAGGAGAATGTTACCTTCGCACAGTTGGGCAGCTCTGTCTATATTGCGCGAGCCTTTTTCCCAGGAGGCTTTACTTCCAAGGTTGCTGTCACATGGTCCTTTACGACGCTATAATTCCCTGACTTCCTACAAGACCTTCAGCTTTTAGGAATGCTCTTTTGGTCCAGTCCACACCTTTTCCTTTTTTTTGTTTTGTTTTTAAGATAAACCTATTCTTGCAGATAAAAAAAAAGCACCGTTTTCTCTTGTGATTGTGGTTCAAGTCCAATGAAATCAGATTTTTAAAAAATAATAAAAAATAATACTTTAGATGAATCTTGGATGCAAGAGAAAGATTCAGAATGTTCATGTCTCCTGAGGACTGGAAAACATTTTCTCATGGTATTATTGTATGTGCCTGTCTTTTAAAGAATTTAATTATACCAAATGATCTATAAGCCTAGAGTTGGGAAAGATAATGAAGTTTGTTCAGTTGTGAAAAGCAAAAGATACTTGCAGTGTGGCTTTAGTAGTGATATATCTGACTCTGAAATAATGTGCTGCTTTTCTTTTTCTTTTCCCTCTTTCAGCAAAGTTTCCATTTGAGAAATACACATTCACTTGGCAAAACAAAAACAACTTTTAAAGGTTGTTCTCGGTGGAAATCACTCTATGCCCCATTACCTGCTTGAGTGAAACCAGACTAAGAACTTCTGTCATGGCAGCTTTTCTGCTGGGAGCTGTGTTGCTTATTGTTCAACCTCAGATGGTGCCTTCCAGACCAGCTATAAATTTGAATGCTGAGACTTCTCAGTCTGTTCAGAGAGAGCTTTTAAAGAAAACATCTCAAAAAAATGACTTCAAGGAAAACATTCATTCTAATGGATCATGCCGGCAGCTGCCACAGACTATCATTATTGGAGTGAGAAAAGGTGGAACAAGAGCTTTGTTAGAGATGTTGAGTCTCCATCCAGATATTGCGGCAGCAGAAAGTGAAGTTCACTTCTTTGACTGGGAAGATCATTACAGAAATGGATTGCAGTGGTATATTAATCAAATGCCATTCTCTTATCCCCATCAGATCACCGTGGAAAAAACTCCAGCATATTTCACATCACCTAAAGTGCCTGAAAGAGTTTATAACATGAACCAATCAATGAGACTACTCCTTATTTTAAGAGACCCAAGTGAGAGAGTACTATCAGATTACACCCAAGTGTTCTATAATCACATGCAGAAGCACAAGCCGTATCCATCCATTGAACAATTCCTGATTAAAGATGGTGAACTCAATGTGGACTACAAGGCAATAAACAGGAGCTTATACTACATTCACATGCAAAACTGGCTGAAATATTTTCCTCTTGATCGTATTCACATTGTAGATGGGGATAAACTAATCAAAGATCCCTTCCCAGAAATAGAGAAGGTAGAGAGATTTTTGAAGTTATCGCCACAGATAAATGCTTCAAACTTTTATTTCAATAAAACTAAAGGTTTCTACTGCCTGAGGGACAGTGGTAGAGAGCGTTGTTTACACGAGTCAAAAGGACGAGCACACCCACAAGTAGATACCCGGTTACTTGAGAAACTGCATGAATATTTCCATGAACCCAACAAGAATTTTTTTGAACTTGTGGGCAGAACATTTGACTGGCACTCATTTGTGGCAAGTTAGTGGTAAGCTTCAGAACCTATGTTCCAGTGTACATTTAGAAATTTTAAAAAGGGCATTTAAGCTATAATTTATTTGTAAAATCCATAAATACTTCTGTACAGTATTAGATTCACAATTGCCATATATACTAGTTATATTTTTCTACTTGTTAAAATTGAAAGCATTTTGTATTGTTTTTCATGGTTGTTAACATTGTGTATGATGTGTCTATATGAAGAAACTAAATTATTTCACTGCAGAAGATGCTCTCTTGAGAATGCATTGTCTTTTTAATAAATAAATTCATTTCAGCAGAACCCTTCAGAATGATTTGAATACTTTGGCCTTTCTGGACTATTCTGGATTTCTTCCTCTAGTTGCTAATGAATATGCTAAACTTTACATTTCCATTTTTCTTTCTTTAAAATGTGGCTTAATAATTTCTTTTTCATTTGAAAATATTGTTGTAGTTAGAAAATTGTTTCATCCTGCTTTATAAAATTATTTCCTGATAAAGTGGTGATACTTACACATGTTGAGACTTGCACACCTAAAGGACAGTGGAAGTTTCTGTGTAATATGACATACTAACTACTGTACTTACCTTCATATTTACTGTTATAACAAGTGCTTCTCAAATTCTTTGGCAGTACAGTGCAGATTTCATGGCAGATTTTTAAAGATTCAGTGGGGACCAGCTCATAAAAACTGGAGTTAGCTGCAGAAATATGGTCAACCTGAAAACTTCCTACGGGCTCTGAATGTATATATACTTCATAAAGAAGAAGGGTTGAGAGAAGAATTTGAGCAATATAGGGACATTTTAAAGGTTGCTTATGACTGTTCCTACATTTTATAGCATATTTCTGCTTTGCCATTACTGAAAACAAACACTTATACCAGAAAAAATAGTTGGTCTACATTCCAATAAGCAGCAACTTCATTCATATAAATATTACCACACTTGTACCCCATTCTTGTTTTCTATGAGTTGAGCAGGTGCTTCATGCATCTGAAAATTGCCCATGAACTACTGTTCATTTAATTTCCTTCCAAGAACCATGATGCCAAGTCTTGATTAGACTTGTGTGTTGTGGGATTAACCCCAATTCCAGGAACTTTTATGGTCTTCCATCTGCTAAAAATGGAAGTTAGATGTTAGTACATTGGTAGAAATTACAACTCTCCTTGTCTACAGTGGTTACGATGTCTTGTTAGCCATCAATTTCTGGAGTTAGAGCTAGTCCGACACAAGGCTTGCTATGTTACTTTCATTCTGAGCTCCTAATTTTCATTTTATGATCTTGAGTTTAGTCATTGAATGTGCAGCGGCAACACCCTGTAAATTTGAACTTGTAACTGATTGTTACAATCCTTTATAAAATTTAAATGTAGATTCATTCATTTTTTTCTGGTGACATGGTGCAAACTTGGGCACTATGACAAGGTACCGCCATCTGGATGCAAATATCCCATATTATGCTGCTTGCATGAAAATTTGCAGATGCTGCCCTTCTCTTGCCCACTCCTTGTGCACCTGCCCAAGCTGTATTCAACCTCAGAGAGGTTGGTGGTGTTTTATAAAGTAGATCTTTGACAAAAGCCTATGATGAAATGGTATTGTACTCAATAAAATATTTTCTGAATTGCATCCTTCCTTTCTCTTTTGTTCATCAGTTTCTAGTTTGGAAGACTAGAATTTGGGATTCAAGTCCTGTTTAAATTCCAGTTAAATGCTACTGAAGAATTTAGCTGTAGCCTAGTGGATTGATTAGAAAGCAGTTGTTTGCTATTGGGTTGTGCCTGCATGGTCCATTGCTGACCCAGCATACACAACAAGGAGGGAAAATTTTTGGTGGCGGTAATGTCAAATCTTACATAAGGCAGATGCCAAAAATAACAGGATTATAGTACTATCATGCTCCTATTAAGGTTTTAGAAAAGGGAAATACAGGGGGTTTTGTGTAAGGTGGGGCAGTATTTTTTTTTCTACGCTCATTATTATCCCATTTCCTTACTAACGTGATCTCTGCAGAAGCCATCTGGACCTAAGAAATTTTGGCCCAGACAAAAGGCTTCCCACCTTAGTATAGTCCCACCTTCACTAGTCCCTCCCTACAGTCCCAGACTAAACCCACCACATTCATCAACTTTTTGCTGGGAAAGGAAGAATGCTACCAGGGTATGTGACCAGGAGCCAGAGGAGTACAAGAAGGCAGGGTTGCATCAAGTTCACCTGCAGCAGATCATACAGGGTAGCATAGGGCATAAGTGTTGAGTTGTGAATGCCAGAGTAATATTGACACCTGATGTTGGTATTGAGAATACTTTTAGATGTATAATGCTACTTGATACCAGTATCTTGCCTGTCACGAAGCAGAACACATGGACGTGTTCCCCAATGCCCAATATGGCTTGTCTCTGTAGAGAGGAGTATTAACCATTGGGTCACTATTACTGTGTTAGTGCTAGGACCTCATAGCATGTTCTCTGTGGGATCAGGAGGCGAAGTGACCACGTCAGGGGGACATCCTGAAGCAGAAGCTCACGTGATTCATGCTCTAGACCCTAAGTTCAAAGGGGCCCACAGACAGTATGTCATACTGAATGTGTACACTGTGTGCAGGGATGGCATGGTTGTACAATACCTTATCCTGTTGCACAGCTAGCTATGTGGTAACTAGGATGGTGATGGACAATAAATCACACCCACACTAATAATAATGATAATATTTACCTGCCATAGGTGCCCTAAGTTCAAGAATCACAATACTTAAAACTAGGATTCTAAGTGGGAATTTTCAGTTTAACAAGAGTAACATTCACTTTCCATACATGCATTACCGTATTTAAATACATTTGCTAGATGTTTCTAAAGAAGTGCTAAACAACAAAAGCCAACAGAAGAAAGTGAAGAGAGAATGAGAGAGACTGAAGCACATTCTGATTGGGACTGTAGAAACACTAATAGTGAGCTTTGAAGTCATGCCATATCTACTCAGAAAAGAAAAAAAAAAAAAAAATCTCTGAAAATACCTTTCCAGTGCTATGCAACACAGGTATTTATTTCTTTAAAACTCTACCTCTTCCGGTTTAAAGTATAACCGCTTGGGTGTTTCTCCAGAGGCCCGTTTCCTCAGGGCAACTAGCCAAGTTTGTGATCACTCTTGCAAATATAAAATAAATACAACACTTTAGGAGAATTCAATGTCCAATTCAAAGCCTACCACTCCCCTTGAATACAAGAAGAAATGTCAATCAAGTCATTAATCAGGGTGGCACTGCAGGACTAAGTCTTGCCCTTTGCTTCACAACACAGATTAGTGTGTCTTTGAAAGCCAGATATTGTACCTGCAGAGGGCAAAGTTTAAACTATAATGATTATCTCATGAACACTGCTGAAGGAGTATGGAAAGGGAGAGAAGTCTCCTAGGAAAAAAAAAACAAAAGTTATTACTTCATCAAGCATATTGCTACGTCTGCTGGTGTTGCTGTATGATCCTTTTACACGTGCTTTGCTTTTTCCTGATGTTGTAGGTGAAATAACATCTAATGTGCTTGAATAAATCAACATTGTTTTGGAACATCTCAGAAAAAAATCCATCCTTTGCTTTAATCTTGCTTGAGCCTGTTTGCATTGGGAATATGGTAGTGCTACAGTCATCGATGAATGTGTGGGATTTACCACCACAGAATATTTTACATGAAAATTTTGTTATTTTGGGGCTTAAAGCTGATCATTTCATGTTTCCTTGTCTACGTGCATTTCAGAACCAGTTTCTGCAGAAAGCCAGGATTCTCATTCCCTGTTGTCATTCACAAAGATTTCAAATGTCTGAAGAGAAATAAGATGGGGTAAGGCATATTTCCATGTATCTTTCTTCTGCTTTGTCTAGCATGGCTGACCAGACATTTAATACAGTTCACACATGCACCACAAGTAAAAGGCTGTACATCACAACTCCTTCTCAGAGGAATATCCTTTCTCCTTTCTCTTTTTCAAAGTTTATGACTTGAAAGTCCTAAATAGATATATACCAGCTGAAATAGTTGCAAGTATGTGCCCCTACAGCTGTAACATTATTCTTTTCTCATTCTTAGCTCAGTAACTTTTATTTATATGACTCTGCCCAGGTGCCCAGTTATGCTGGAAAGATTGTATGTTCAATGTTAATTCCTTCATTTTGCAGTTCCATTGGAAAGGCCAGTTACAGATGGAAGCCATACAAATATTGTATGAGTGAAAAAAAACTTATATTAATATTTTACTTGCCAAAAATAAATGAAATTGCATTTCTGTCTCCTAGAATATTAGCAAAGGAGAGCAGTACTCTCTTTTCTTGCAAAAATAACCCATCCACAGTAAATTTTCTACTTAACTACCACACAACAGTTGATGCAGTTTTAAAGTTAATAGTGCAATAAACTCAACAGTGATGCGGCAGATTTTAAATGGCTTCTGGGATATATAAAATATGCAAGTCAGGGTGGGGAGCAGCTGGATGTATAGGAACAGCTGGTTTCATTCATCTGAGAACTTTTTTTTTTAATGATAAGGGACATGAAATTTTTGGTTTGGATATCACTTTGTGTTGTCTATGAAAGCAATGTCTTCAATTAACTTTCAAGTCAATAATCCTATCATAATGACATCATCTTTTTACTTGCTATTGGCATTATGCTCTACCAAAACACGGTTGAAGAGCCAAACCACAAACAGCAGGTGCATGAGGGATCCCTTAGTATAAAAAATAAATTGTAATACAAGTCAGACACATAACTTCAATTATAAAGTAACATTGGCTTGAACAAAGGACTGTTCTGAAGTGAATGGCAAAATTCTCTTTACAATTTGGATGAGGATTACAGAAACAGAAACATGTATGCATTCACAGTAAAAGAGGAGAACAAGTAACATGCCCTTTCCTCCTTGGTTTCCAATCAATCAGCCAGCAGTATTTTAATAATAATGATCAGGCCAGCTTCCAGGACTCAACGTAGTTCAGTCCAGATAACACTCAGTTACAAAAGGAATAGTTCTGGCAGTAATTCTTACACCAGACAGCCTTCTCAGGGTATCTCCTATTACTGAAATTTGTGAAATTCCTCTTTCTTCTACAGTGTGCTGCTGTATCACATCTGTCCTATAATTAACTATTGTATTACTCTAGAAGAAAATAGATATATGATCTGGTAACATTTTTATGGAATACTGTTCAAATTAATGGGAAATCACAGCATTATGGGGTCCAAAACATACTT